TTTGTGTAACATTTTTGTGAAGTGGAAATGAATTGTGATCATTTTCTTGTTAACTGTTTACTTGAAAAGTGATATGTGAATGTTCTCTGCTGTATCCATTGATGTAAACTAGACATTTTTGTGGATTAGATTTTGATATATAATCTGCTTAATCCCTGTAAAATAGTGTGTTTTTGTTTTTCTATAGGAGCTTCTGCTGTAGAAGACTCGGGACAGATCACAAACGGAGACAGCATGAAAAGTGACAAACCAGTGGACGATCAGAAAGTGCAGAAAAGAAAACGTGAAGGAACGACTCCTCAGGTAAAACGTAAGAAAACCTTTCATGGACCGACTCAGCCTAAGAATGCTCTAATGCAATTGAATGAGCTAAAACCTGGTTTGAAATACATTGTTGAATCTTTAGAAGGAGATTCTCGTAACCTTTGCCATGTGGTATCTGTAGAAGTAAACAAACAGAAGTTTATCGGAAAGGGGAAATCAAAACAGTTGGCCAAACAAGCAGCTGCACAAGCTGCACTAGCTTCGTTTGTCCAGTTTAAAGATACTCCAAAAGCAATGCAAGTGTTAAATCGACCTGTAACTTGTGTAGATTTTACAACAGATGTGGTTGATGATGAAAGCATTTTCAGCAAATTTGAAAGTGAAGAACCTGATGTTCAACATACCTCAAATATAGAAGAGACCATGATAATTCCCCAAGAAGGTATTCCACTTGATTGTGTTAAAATAAAATTTTCCAAGGCTTTCTCTGAGGCTGAGAAAAAAAATCCAGTGATGTTGTTACACGAGCTACATCCTGGAGTTCAGTTTATGGTAGTAAGAGAAACTCCGTCAAACCCAGCTAAGAGATTTACGATGGGCCTTTCATTGGAAAATAAAACATTTGAAGGTTCAGGACCAAATAAAAAACAAGCCAAAGCGGCTGTAGCCAAAGTTGCTCTCAGTTCTCTGTATGGAATTGATTATGCATTACCTTTAACCCTCCTGACTAGAAAAGGTCAACAGAATCAGTTCAGGTGATCCAAGAGTTAATGTCAGTAATACGAGTCAGAACCGGGAAGAGTTAATGTCAGTAATACGAGTCAGAACCGGGAAGAGTTAATGTCAGTAATACGAGTCAGAACCGGGAAGAGTTAATGTCAGTAATACGAGTCAGAACCGGTAATGGTATCAAAGTGATGGATTTCTAGATTTTTTTTTACCAATTTTAAAATCCATTTTTTATTTTTTTTAAAACCTACACATGTCACATGCAGCTGATGTTAAACAAAATTTACTTAGTACAGACTAATAGTTACTGACGTTTTCTGATAACAAGATCATACATACACAGGTGAACAACTTTAAAATATCATCATCACGTTCTGCGTGATTGGTCAGAAAATGAATACTGTGCTTCGGTAGATTACCCCTACAGTCAAGAAGATTCTGAAGGACATTCATATTGATAAAACACACTTTAAGACTAGTAATGTAATAATGATTTGAAAGTGGTCCTGTTAAATCTACTAAATGTACAATTACACGTGCATTTTATTATAGATTGAAGAACAATACTGTTTTTAGATAAGTTATCTACTACACTAAAGCATCTTTCAACATCCATAACCTATATGACATTAGGATATAGTCAATAGATTAATACCACTCCAAATCTAAACATTTTTTAAAACGTATTAATTACATTACAGGGTTTTTCACCTAGTTATACTTGTTACTAAACATCCTTTAACTATTTTTGTTTTTATGTTTGTCATCAAGAAAGATAGGATAAAGTATTAAAAAATAAGTGGCACTTTGTTTTGGGTTTATAACTACATCCTCTATTTCCTTCCAAATTGTTTCTATTTTTAGTAAGGCAGCTAATTTGAACTGCCTTTAAAACCTTCCGAACAAATTCTATAAAACAATACTTTAATATTATCCCATTGCTGCTGACATGTTATATCCAAATCAACATCTACAATCATCTCATCTGTGGTCACTGTTAATTTTGTTACGACATTTCAGTTAAAAGAACCATTTTTATGTAAGAGAAAAAAACAAACAAACTTAAATCAAGTGAGCTACATTTTCTTCACTGTTGGCAGTTTCAGGACTTCACTGATATTCCTTGACGTTTCTATCACATTGACTGATTCTATTAACCTTTTACAGACTGGAGGGTTGTCACTGATATTCCTTGACGTTTCTATCACATTGACTGA